ATTAAGGGAGGGTGTTAAACAGGCCGTACGTGTCAAACATCTTTGGGCGTATTGTACGTATGTATCTTAGCAGGAGTCCTTCGGTTAGGCTCGGAGGTTTATCTTTGCAACCATAATTCTATCTCTACCTAGCTTGATCTCCAAGTTGTAATCTCTCTTGTAAGATCTCAACTGTATGCGCTATTAGGGACTTGCGCCCCTGCCTATAACATGCACGGCGTCCCCTCTCGACGAGGTAAGATGTTTTCCACTTTGCACATTGTTTACCGCACAAGGTAGCCGCAATGTAAGACCTTCTGTGGCTTGGAACATTTGGAATGAGCGCAATAGAAGGATCTTCAGGCATGAACAACCTAATGCTGCAGGTGTTTGCTCTTTGATCAGAGATGAGTTAGATCTCCTTAAGGAGGCGTTGGAGTAGTCTCATAGTTTTTCTGCCAGGATGCAGTTTGCATCTCTGGAAAAAATATTTTGGTCTCTGGTATCTTTTTAGTTGCATTCCCGGCTGCTTTTGACAGCACGTTGTACAGTTTTTCCCTCTCTTAAATGAAAAGGCAAAGCACCTGCCATTCCGGTAAAAAGAAAGACCTTCTGTCAAGAAAAACAAAGATCAAATTATGTGGCTCAAGCTCAGTTGGCAGTGACTGAAGGTGCTATGGAGAGGATGAGATCAGTGGCACCGAATAGCTAGAAGCTCCGGCATGAGGACGAATCTGTAGGTGCCATGAGGAGACGCACTGCTGACAGCAAAATGAAGCGCTTCAAGGTTCCTTGGCCTCTGCCGCCACATGCTCACACCTAGCCTTAGGTGCCTTGCAGGCTTGCAGGGACATCAATGGTGGTCCCAAGAAGCAGTGTAATTCAATGGGGCATGAGGGCCAGCACACTGGCAATACACGGTGATTGGCTCCATGGGCAATGTGCTTCGAAGATGAAGACGTAAAGTTAAAATCTCTATCACACCAACTAAATCTTTATTGTTCTATTTCAGGATTTTTTTTATTTGTCTAGAAGGTCACATACAAAATCTTGCTCCCAGGGACAAGCTTATGACGTTTTTTTCTAGAACTGCTGCTTTATCAGAGGAGGCTCAACAACTGCTGCTTTTATTTCTAAATAATACAAATTAAGCAAGGGAAAACAGTATATTTACTATTTAATGGAAGTAAACAAAGAACAAAAAAGATAAGTGTTAGGCTCGTCAATTTTTGTTTTCTGCACCCATTATCTTATCATGAAAAACTGCAATGCCCTCTCATGTTCATCCCGTAAAAATGAGGCTTGCATGATTGGGAGTTACATGTATTCTTTTACATAGTTGCCTTTCTGCTACTTGTCATTGCCATTCTGTTCCATGATTGAAATATTGCAAGGTTTACTACGGACTGCCCAAGCAAGGTAAAAAGCAGCAATGACAACTAGCAAAATACAATGATGAAAAAATAAATAGGAAACTCTTAATGACCAATATGAATTGCATGTCTGATTATCAGAGGAGGATCATGAAAGGGTGCTACTATATTTTCGCGATAAAATATGGGTGCAGAAAACAAAAATGATGGGCATAACACTTTATATTTCTTTTGTTTCTTTGTATAGTTCAAATAAGTAGCTCTTGCTTCATTTGTGTTCAATAAAAGCGCCAGCTATTCAGACTTTCAGAAAAATAAACTGTAACAAGCTTGTATGTTGTAGTAAGATTTTCTTTGTGCCATTCTGGAAAAGTTCAAACTTAAAAGGGAGGCCGAAATACAAATAAAGATTATGTCACTATGGGAGAGATTTTCTTTTATGGATCGTGTACCAAAGTTGTTAGTGTCAGTACCATCTTGTTAAGTTGATCCAATAAGCATTTCTATGGTTTAACGAATATACTGGGCAGAAATGCTGCTATTTGTGATAGAGCAAAGCATGTTTATATATGATGATTTTTTTAACAGAGTATAATCAAAGTCGCTCACATAGACAAGCATACACTCACCCATATGAACGCACGCACGCCCTACCGCTATGAGCACATCCGAGAGACTGAGCCGGCATAGCATCTTTAGATTTACAAAGTCAACACAGGAAGCCTGAAATAAATCCAGGAATAATGCGAGCACCAATGTCAAGTCTAGGACTTGAACCCTGGTGGGCTGGGGATACCACTGTCCTCCTAACCATCCAACCACAGGTTAGTTCGCTTGTATATGATGATTTCGTTCAGCATATCTAGGATCACTTTGGAGATGGCCATTTCAACAACTAGGTATATCATGTGAAAGTGTGTACGTTATGTTTCAAGTTAATTTGAGTTATGTAATGTAAATTCTTGCAATGCATTGATATGTATCCAGTCGTTTAATTAAATTATTTGGAGAAGGTGACCAAGATGTGTTTTCGTCTCTAAATCTTGTTACTAAATTGTTTGTTCTCATTAATTATAGTGAAAAATATTGAGATCAACTACACTGAGTAGAATATCCTGGAACATAGGTTAACTTCAGTCCACCAGTAGTAGCAAAATGATTAAATCACAAAATGAGTTCAAACGTTGTACGTTGTATCCAGTCACGTTGAATACTTTGTGTGGTGAAGATAGAGCATAGTCAGATTATATGATTTTGTAGGGATAACTTTCTTTGGCCATGTTATTTTGAGAAGACATAATTGCTTTGTTAGTATGCTTGAAGTATTATTATTTTTATGTCAATATAAACTTTTATCTTGAATCTTTCTAATCTGATTATTCATATCACAATTAAGAAGATTTGCATTGAAATTATGCCAAGTAGCACTCCGCATAAAAAATTCTCTTTTTATCATTTACCTACTCGAGGACGAGCAGGAATTAAGCTTGGGGATGTCTGATACGTCTCCAACGTATCTATAATTTTTTATTGCTCCATGCTATATTATATACTGGTTTGGACTATATTGGGCTTTATTTTCCACTTTTATATTATTTTTGGGACTAACCTATTAACCGGAGGCCCAGCCCAGAATTGCTATTTTTTTGCCTATTTCAGTGTTTCGAAGAAAAGGAATATCAAATGGATTCCAAACGGAATAAAACCTTCGGGAACGTGATTTTCTCACCAAACGTGATCCAGGAGACTTGGACCCTGCTCCAAGGAACAAAAGAGGCGTCACGAGGGTGGGGGGCGCCCCCCCTAGGGCGCGCCCCCCTGCCTCATGGGCACCTCGGTGCTCCTCCGGCGTACTCCTTCCTCCTATATATACCTACGTACCCCCAAACAATCAGAACAGGAGCCAAAAACCTAATTCCACCACCACAACTTTCTGTATTCACGAGATCCCATCTTGGGGCCTGTTCCGGAGCTCCGCCGGAAGAGGGACGTCATCACGGAGGGCTTCTACATCATCCTAGCCCCTCCAATGAAGTGTGATTAGTTTACCTCAGACCTTCGGGTCCACAGTTAGTAGCTAGATGGCTTCTTCTCTCTCTTTGAATCTCAATACAAAGTTCCCCCCTCTCTTGTGGAGATCTATTCGATGTAATCTTCTTTTTGCGGTGTGTTTGTTGAGACCGATGAATTGTGAGTTTATGATCAAGTCTATCTATGAATAATATTTGAATCTTCTCTGAATTCTTTTATGTATGATTGGTTATCTTTGCAAGTCTCTTTGAATTATCCGTTTGGTTTGGCCAACTAGATTGGTAGTTCTTGCCATGGGAGAAGTGCTTAGCTTTGGGTTCGATCTTGCGGTGTCCTTTCCCAGTGATAGAAGGGGCAGCAAGGCACGTATTGCATCGTTGCCATCGAGGATAACAAGATGGGGTTTATTTCATATTGCATGAATTTATCTCTCTACATCATGTCATCTTGCTTAAGGTGTTACTCTATTTTTAACTTAATACTCTAGATGCATGCTGGATAGCGGTCGTTGAGTGGAGTAATAGTAGTAGATGCAGAATTGTTTCGGTCTACTTGTCACGGACGTGATGCCTATACATGATCATGCCTAGATATTCTCATAACTATGCTCAATTCTGTCAATTGCTCAACAGTAATTTGTTCACCCACCGTAGAATACTTATGCTCTTGAGAGAAGCCACTAGTGAAACCTATGGCCCCCGGGTCTATTCTCATCATATCAATCTCCATTACTTTAATCTTGCTTTGCCTTTTACTTTGCCTTCACTTTTTACTTTGCATATTTATACCAAAAATATTATATCTATCAAATCTCACTCTCGTAGGTGACCGTGAAGGGATTGACAACCCCTAATCGCGTTGGTTGCGAGTAGCTATCGTTTTGTGCAGGTACGACAGACTTGAGCGTGGCCTCCTACTGGATTGATACCTTGGTTCTCAAAAACTGAGGGAAATACTTACGCTACTCTGTTGCATCATCCCTTCCTCTTCGGGGAAAACCAACGCAAGATCAAGACGTAGCATGTCCCGGTAAAGCGGGTTTAGACTGCTGCCTCCATCCATAAGGACTCGTGTGAGGTGGAACCCGTCAATTATTGGGTCGAGGACTAGTGCAGCTGAATTGCCCTGATTGGTGTTGACTGGACTATCTGTGTAGTTGAAGGTGATTGGCCCTAGTTTATATTGTGGGACGAATGGTTCCGCTAAGTCGACATCCCTAAGGGTGCTCATCCGGTCCGGGTTGGGACTGTGGGTGGCGTTTACCACGTTCACCATTTGGATTTGCGGGGGAAATTTCTTTTGCCCTCCTGTATTCGGTGATCTGGGCTCCTTGTCGCCATTATCGCTTTGAGACCCCTTATCTTTGTTTTCGGTGCCTGACCTGCCGGCTTGTTTGAAGACCCAACATTCTTTGTTGGTATGATTGGCTGGTGTTCCTGGGGTGCCATGAATTTGGCATGGACGGTCGAGTATGCGGTCTAGATTGGACGGACCCGAATTGTATGGCCTTTTCCGCTGACCGGACTTAGAGCCACTAAAGCCGGCATTGACTGACGTATCTTCGGCATTTCCACCATTTTTGCGACGCTTGTGTTTGTCGCGTCGGGGTTTGCCATTGCTATCTCTGGCCTCTGATGTGCCAGGATTGCTTGCTATGTTGTTGCTACGGGCCAACCAGCTATCCTCGCCCGCGCAAAAGTGGGTCATGAGTATCGTGAGGGCTGCCATGGATTTTGGCTTCTCTTGGCCGAGATGTCGGGCGAGCCACTCGTCACGGATGTTATGTTTAAAGGCCACTAGGGCTTCGGCATCCGGATAGTCGACAATTTGGTTCTTTTTAGTTAGAAACCGAGTCCAGAATTTCCTGGGTGACTCTCCGGGCTGTTGTGTTATGTGACTTAAGTCATCAGCATCCGGTGGTCGCACATAAGTGCCCTGGAAGTTGTCCAGGAATGCGTCTGCCAGGTTCTCCCAACTTCCGATGGAGTTTGTCGGCAAGCTATTCAGCCAATGCCGAGCTGGCCCTTTGAGTCTTAGT